CCTCCTTTTCTTTCTCTCCTTTTTTTTCCTTCTTCCCTCCCATCCCCGCCTCCCTTTTTTTTTCTTGGATCTGGACTTCTAATACTCCTGTCATCTGAAGAAGTGGGCTGTGCCCAAGAAAGCTCATACCACCATCTACATGTTTTGTCAGTCTCTAAGGTGCTACTAGTCTTTTTGTTGTTGTTTAAGTTTTTCCTATAGCTATGTTGTCAGTCATCAAAGTGCTGGGATTGTATGAACAACAGAAATGCTTTGCAAGTTTCTCATTCTGCTCTCAGTTCCAGAAGAGCTCTATGCCATTATCTAAATTACTGATAAAGATATTGAGCAGAAGCAAGCCCAGGAGAACTCCCATCAAGACCTTTCAGCTTGATTGAGAGCCACTGGTAACTACTCTCTTGGAACAGTTTTCCAAACAGTTTTGCACCCACCTTACAATAGCTCCATTAAGGCTGTTTTCCCCTAGTTTATGTATATTTCCCTAGTTTGGGTTTCATTTACTGGGAGATCAATCAACAGGAGCCTGCCGATTGAAGGATACCTAAGGAACTTATACTCAAGATCTTGGACTTCCTCTAAGGAGATTTGGAGCTGTTCTACTACTGCCCTTATTAGCTCCTGGAACTTCAATAGTTGGCCAGTGGCAATGGAGTGGCCAGAGTATCTACCACATCAAGACACAAGGACAATATCTCTATCAGAACTCTGGCCCTGATGGATCCTGCTCATCTTCCCCTTCTTCCATGAGCTTAGGGGGATTCACACTTCTTAGAACAGAAGGGTCGGAAAAATCATGCTTGAAAGAGATGGTTTCCAGGTATTTGTCTAAGGGTTCCAATAAGGCCGTGTAAAGGGTTGAAAGAGGTCTGTGGTGCTCCCTAAGGCACTGGGTAGCACTGGTACCGAGAAGAAGAACCCATCTCAGTGGGGGAGGAGCTGGTTACACTGTAGTACATCTAACGATCCTGAAGATGAAAAAGTTGGATCTAGCTCCATCAGCAGCGCCATCAGATCTGCTGAGAGGAGACTGCAGCTAGCGATCTGAATAGGGGATAGACTTCTCCCAGACCCCTGGATTACTGCAGTTATGTCTCTCCCCCTGCTAAGGATACATCTTGTTAACAAGCATAATTGTGGGACTTGCTGGATGTAGGTCTCATCTAGAGCACTATAAATCATATTCATCTTCAAAATTTGTGTCTTGTCATTCCCTTCAAGTAGAATAGGTGTAGACTGCTGTTCCTTATGGTGGTGTTCCATATGCTGTTGGTGTTGGCACCACTGGTAAATTAGTCTCGAACTTTGTAGTTTTCAATATTATTGGCAGTTCCCGGTCCTTTGTGTCCCAGTGTTTCATTTTAGGTGGCAACACAATGTTGGAATTCAGAAAACTGGTATGAAGGGAGTCCTGCTCTTCTCAACATGCCAACGCAACTTAGGAGGGCCAAAATTCTTATGGGTTGGGTGACTTGGACAGGGCTAAGGAGGGATCTCTTCTCCTAGAAGATCTAGGAGAGGATCTGCCTTTACATATAAAACCGAGTGCCCCTAACTCTCACTGGCGGGCCCAGCGAAGAGTCCTTCTCTGACTTCCCCTTCTGCTCTGGAATCACATACAGTATTAGGAGACACAATCCTTGACAATTGTGGATGATGGAAAGGAAGGTCTCCCCAGTCTGGGCCTGTTTGGGGATGCTGCACGCCATAAAGTGCTTCCAAAGCCAACATTCTCACAGAAAAGCACAGCAACTACTATATTTAATGGAGATACGAATTTCTCCAAGGCAGTAGAAGCAGTAATGGTTATTGTTGCAGGCCAAAAGGGAATGAGCAGAGAAGACAGGGATTTTTAAACCGGGTATCCTAGAGGTAATCTAAGACCCATGTCTGGAAATTGGAAAGGATCTCCCTGCTGTGGAATCCAACACTAACTAGTAAACACTGAACAACAATAAACAACATGAAAAAAAAAAAAGCATCAGCTCTGAACAATGGAAGAGTCTGACTCAGGCCATGCAGTGGTAAGAAAGAACTGGAGAAGCAGTCAGTCAGCCCCCCTGTGAAGGCGCGTTGGGGTCCCCCGCCTCCTGCACTCCCGTAGTGGCACGAACAGACTCCACCAGCCAGTAGAATAGAGGGAGTCTATTGCTTCTCCAGGATACAGCACAGCACAGATGTCATCTGGTCACAGGCCAGGCCTAGGATGCCTCAGCCCCCCTTGAGATGGGGGAGACTGGGCCCCTAAATCTCAGCCTGTAGCTTAAGCTGCCTCCTCCATGATACCAGACAGAAACCAACAACTAACTTCCAGCCCTGTCCCTCCCTCCCCCCAGCCAGGGCTCCACTCCCCTTCTTCCCATTGTTCCGCTCCCTGGGAGATAACTGGTCCGACAGGTTCGGAGCCCCCTTGAATGACGACTCATCCCCTGCCCTGCTGGGCCATGCTACAGCCAGCAGCCAGTGGAGGTCACCCACAGCCCACTGCCCAGCATAGCAACCAGCAAGGAACCAACGCTACGTCACACCCTCGCCCCCATATTCTCGGCGGCAGCACAAGAACAGGGGAGCAGATGTGGACGAATGGACACTACGTGCAGTAAGTCCCCATTCTGAGGAGGATGGAGCACATATGTATTCACAGTTGAACAAACAGAGGGACCTGCATTCAAAGAAATGTGTTATTGGACTCAGTTTATTTAGGTCTTCTGTAACATTGTTAAAACTGGCCATTCTATAAATATAAGACAAGCTGAAGCTTGTCACAAACCACAATTATCTATAGAAGTTAAAAAAAAATGACAGCTGCTCTGTTTCTTGCAATCTCATGCCTATTTTGCATCATGCAGACACTGACATCTTGTGACCATTACTACACATTGCAAACAAACTGAATTAATTTCAGAGTATTTCCTCTCTCTCTCTCACCCTCAGTTAATGCAGTAAAGGACAGTTACTAAGTCAACCATGTTCTTCCTGAAAATAAATGTGGAAGAACGGCTCTTGCGCAAGAGGGGGGTTTTGCGCAAAAAGGAGCAGCGTAGACAGCTCCTTTTTGTGCAAAAGCCTCTTGCGCAAAAAGTAGCCACTCATTAATTATGCAAATGAGACACGGAAATATTCCACACTTTGCCTCATTTGCATATTTATTGCGCAAAACAGAGCAGTGCAGATGTAGCCTAAGCGTGTTATTAGCATACAGTTCCAGGACATGGCAATTTGAGATGTCCTGTATACCTTTCTTAGACTGTGCAAAAAGCAACAAATTGCACAAACATTTGTTTTAAAACAGTTTTGCATATTTTTTGTGGTTTTAAGCCTGAGACGGAGGGTAAGATGAAAAGAAATGATGGATGTTTGGGAGGATTCTGTGTTAGGTTTTATTCTTTGCCTTCGGAACACAGTTTTAAGTTTACATTTGCTGTAAGAGTAAGCAGCATTTCATCACTCAGCGTAGTGTTCCTAGATTTCCTGTACTGTCAAATTGCCCTGGAAGCATATGTATTAACCTAAACATACTGAAATGGAGAACACAGCTCAGGTGCAAGTTAAAAGAGAAGCTAGGCCATCAAGCCCCTTTATTTAGTTACCCAAGAAAACCTGTGTATTTTGCAAGAGGGAAATATAGCTCATAATACTTGAAATGATCGTGCCTACACCACAATACAGGTGACCCCTGACTTACGCCCCCCCGCATTTACGACCTATTTTTAAGACAGTCTTCTTGTCCGTCTGTAATAGGAACTTAGACTTGCCCCTCCTGCGCATACACCGGCTGTCCTGCCAGCTCTGGCTCCTGCAGCAGGTGTGCTCTGCCGCCTGGCTACTTTGACAAGGCAGGCGGCCCCCGCACGCTCTGGCTCTCAGCAAGCTGCCCAGCTTCTGCAGGCAGCCCCACCTGCCTCTGAGACAGGACATCTGCCCCTCCCCACACTGGCCGGCTGGGGGTGAGGGAGGGCCCCCC